GTGACGCAAGCTTTTCATCCTAGCAACTTTGGAGGCTGAGGCAGGAGGATCACATGTTCAAGGCCAGCCTGAGCAATTTAGTTTCAAAATAAAGAAGAAAAAGGACAGGGGATTCAGCTCAGTGGAAGTGCCCCTGGGTTTGGTCTCCAGTACAAAAAGCAAAAACAAAATCACTGAGCTGTGAATTTTAGAGTATGTGAGTTCTATCTAAAAATATACACATAAGCCGGGCTTGGTGACGCACACCTGTAATCCCTGTGACCTGGGAGGCTGAGATGGAAGGATTGAAAGTCCCTGGCCATCCTCAGCAACTTAGTAAGACCCTGTCTTTAAGAAGAATGAGAGGGCTGGGGATGTGGCTCAAGCAGTAGCGTGCTCGTCTGGCATGCGTACGGCCCGGGTTCAATCCTCAGCACCACATACCAACAAAGATGTTGTGTCCACCGAAAACTAAAAAATAAATGTTAAAAAAATTCTCTCTCTCTCTCTCTCTCTCTCTCTCTCTCTCTCTCTCTCTCTCTCTCTCTCTTCTCACCCATCTAAAAAAAGATGGGAGATGGTGTGCTGGGAATGTGGCTCAGTGGTTCAATCCCCAGTACTAACATAAAAACAAGTGAACTAAATAACTGCAGGGCTTGTCCGTCAGCTGTCCAGGGCTCCACTGTCCCTTCCCAGAGTCCCAAGTCCACTTTGGACAAGGGAAAGGGAGCCTCACAGGTGGCAGGGCCCAGAGAAGGCAGCAGGGCCAGGGAGGCTGCCTGGCTGCTGGAGCGGGCAGGCGGGGGCTGCACTGCCCTCTGCCCCCCACTCCTTCCCTGGGTGGGGCTGAGAGGTCAGAGGGAAGCTCCTGGCACCCAGGGTGCAGGAATCTCAGACATGCTGCCCTGCGTCCAGGTTTCCTGAGGCTGGCCCTCCTCCCCAGGGCTGGGAGGCTGGGTGGGGCCCCCTTCCTGACATAGGCTCTGGGCCTGCCTGGTGGTCATCTGGGGGCCCAGAGCCCAGCCAGCCCCCTCCCCCTGATGGGCTGGACTGCTGGGGTGGGTGCTGGGCAGGGAAGCATTCATATTTACAGGTCTTTCCTGCCCTCCTGGCAGCCTGACTAACCAGCTCCTCCAGGCCCAAGGTGCTGGGGGTGGGGTGCAGCCGGAGGCAGCCAGACCAGCCCCTGAGCTCCCCTTGCTCCGCTGGCCATCATGGGGCCCCCTGGGAGGCAGCCTCGCCCTTGCCTGCTGCTCCTCTTGGTACTGAGCTGTTTCCAAACCAGCCTGAGCCTGGGTGAGTCGGGGTCCTGGGATGGATGCACCTGGCCACACCCGAGGCGCTGGGGGCACCTGCTGGGGAGATTGAACCTGGGAGCCCATCCCCTTGAGTCAGGTCCAGTAATCTCAGGGCAGTGGGCCTCCAGGACCCTCATGCCCTTCTCCACTGCTCACCCTTGTCCCCCATGGCTACAGAATGGATCCCCTACAAGCCACAGATAACAGCCTGGAACTTGGAAGGGAAGGTCACGGCCACCACGTTCTCCCTRGAGCAGCCTCGCTGTGTGTTTGATGGGCATGCCAACGCCAAGGACACCATCTGGCTGGTGGTGGCCTTCACCAATGGTATGTGGTGCAGGTCAGGGGCCTGGGGAGAGGGGTGAGGGCCCAGAGGGAACACTTCACCAGTACCCCCAGTTGTTGGGTGCAGCTGGCAGCGGTGGGAAGGGTGAGTGTGGGGAGCGAGGTGAGGTGGGCTTCAGCGGGGGGGTCTCTTAGGAGATGGCAGAGTCTGTTTTGTCTGGACTCACAGGGAGGGGGGCCGTGGAGGTGGTCAGGGCTGAAGGCCATGGCCAGGTGGCTGAGGGCTGGTGGAGGCAGGACTYCTGGTCAGCAGGAAAAGGCCTTTTCCTCCCTTCTTGCCCCTTTCACCCTCCATCCTCCAGCCTCCAGGGATTTCCGGAACCCACAGACCCTGGCTGACATTCCCCTCTCCCCACGGATGCTGACCGATCTCCACTTCATGACGTTGCCCCTGTCCCTGGACCAGCTGCCCTGTGAGGATCCAGTGGGTGTCAGTGGAAGCTCCCCCTTGCTACGGGTCGGCAATGACTTCGGCTGCCACCAGCAACCCTACTGCAATGTCCCCCTCCCTGGCCCTGGCCCTTACAGGTGGGTGGTCCCCCTCCACCCGCCTGCCTCCCCCTGCCCCCCCCCCCCAACGTCCACTGCCCTGGGATTGGGCTGCGCCGGGGGAGGAGGAGCTTCTGGGGAGCCAGGGTGCAGAGCCGGCCCCTCCCCCCCCCCCCCCCCCCCCCCCCCCCCCCCGCACGTCCACTGCCCTGGGATTGGGCTGCGCCGGGGGAGGAGGAGCTTCTGGGGGGGAGGAGGAGCTTCTGGGGAGCCAGGGTGCAGAGCCGGCCCCTCCCACCCGCCCCGCCCAGTCCCAAGTGCAGGGTGGCACGAGCCCCTCCCCTTTCCTGGTCTCCATTTCCCTCCTCTGGAGGAGGGGGCAATAGTGCCCTCCCATTGGATACCAGGCAGAAAGAGGCCTTTCCAGAGGCCCCAGCAGGGAGGTGGGGACCAGAGCAACTGGGATCTCAGTCAAGGTGGGAGGGGGCTGCTGTGGCCTCTGGTTCTGCCCAGGGGGGTAGTTCAGGCAGAAGAGATGGTTCCCATCCCCTTCCTCCTTCCCTGAGGGTACAGCCTTCAGACGGGTTCAGTCAGGGGGCCTGTTGAGGTCGTGGTGGAGTGTCTCCATCCTCCCTGCTCCCTCTGCCCCCTCGGCCACCCCCGCTGGGCTTCTAGCCTTACTCGGAGGGTCCCAAGATGGTCTAGAGTTCCTACCCAGCAAAAACACTGAGTCTGCCCACAGAACCTATGGATTCTGCACTCTGGGCAGGCCCTGACTGAGACTCCCCGCCTTTGGCCTGGGTGCCTTTGTAAGAGGGTGCTGAGATCTTCCTCCCTGCCCAGAGCCACTGCCCAGATGGATGGGGACTGCTGGTGCAGGTCACATGCCCAGAGAGGCCTCGGCAGGTCCTCCTGGCAGGGCCAGACTACCACTGGGACCCRCGCATGAGAAGGGCCCCACCCAGCACAGGAGGGCCGCTGGGGACTCTGCTGAAGGTGGCACCGTGTCCAGGGCAGTGGAGCCCTCTGAGTCTCACCCCTGCTCCCTATCTCTAGTGTCAAGTTCCTCCTAAYGGACGTCGGTGGCGCACCAAAGGCTGAGACGGAGTGGTCAGATCCCATCACTCTGCACCAAGGTAGTCCTGGGTGCTGSGACTTCCTCTGTCCTCAGGGAGCTCGCCGGCCTCTCTGGGCCACCTGCTCATCTTCCGCAGGGGCACTGGCTCTGCCAGTCCCCAAGCGTTTGCCAACCCTTGGGTGCCCCACCAGCTCCTGTCACAGGCAGAAATCTTCCTCTTCCTGTGGGACCCAGGCCTGGGCCTCCTTTCCTGGGTGTGGGGAGAAGGAATTGGGCATGAAGACCAGAGTCAGCATCAGGGCTGGCTGGCTGGGGGTGGAATGGAAGGTTCTAGGGGCTTCTCTGAGCAGGGCCCTGAGGGTGAACACGGGGCACCAAGCAYGTGCAAAGACCAGAGTGTCTGGGAAGGGAGTTGCCGGGGAGATGGCTGCTAAGGCAGTTGGGGTGGGGATCTTGTCATCTGAAGACCTTGAATGCTGGGTTCCAAGGAGCAGGTGATATAGTCCCCTGGAGGTCTGCAGCCACTCTGTCTGCCATGTTCCGGGCAGTGTGGGGCAGGGGTAGGGACAAGCCCAGCAGGTGAGCCCAGGGTTGGGCTGGAGTGACAGGTGCCTGCTGAGATGGACAGACGGGTGGGCTTGGGAGGCTTTCTGGGTTCATGAGGTGTGACGGTGGATGGGGAAAGAGGGAGGTGACAGAACCCTGTGTGYAGGGAAGGCCCCAAGCTCCATCGACACGTGGCCAGGGCGGCGGAGTGGCTGTATGATTGTAATCGCCTCCATCCTCTCGTCCTTGGTTGGCCTCCTGCTCCTGGCCTTCCTAGCAGCCTCTACAGTGCGCTTGTGAGTGGCAACACCCCATGGGCCCCTCTCTCACCCACAGCCCTTCCTGGCCCTGGCCCTGGCCCTGATGCCTGGAAGCCTCCTGTCCACACTGTGGTTGGTTCTCGGCTCCTTCCAGGGAGGGTGCAGGAACTGCAYTTTTCCTGCTGTCACCTGGGAGGCCATGAGGATCCAGTAGTTCCCCTGAGGRCTGGTTTGGGGGCCTGCCTCCCTCTGGCCCTGTCCTTCACTGTGTCCTCTGCCAAGGCCCCTCTCTCCTGAGCCTTATGTTTCTCTGTGAGCTCGTGGGTGTCTTAGCAAACTGGTGCCAGCATAGGCAGTCAGAGTGGTTACCTGGAAGAGGCCAGTTCTAGAAAGGGTGGAGAGGGAGAGCMGAGGCCATGGGGTGAGGGTGCGGGGAGGGGAAGCAGTCCCCCACCCACAAGGGACATAGTGCCTCTTCCTCCTCCCCTGTCCAGCTCCAGCCTGTGGTGGCCCAAGGAGGCCCCTGAGCATCTGCGGATCGGCTCCTTCATGGGGAAGCGCTACGTGACCCACCACATCCCGCCCAGTGAGGCTGCCACACTGCCTGTGGGCTGTGAGCCTGGCCTGGACCCCCTCCCCAGCCTCAGCCCCTAGCCTGTTGCCTGGGCCTGGGCCTAGTAGGCAGGGAACAAATGCAGGGAGCGTGTTCCCCACCCCTGTGCCCACAGGCCTCCTGGGGCTCCTGGCCTCTCCCCAGCATGCTCCAGCTTGCCAGGATTCCCCTCCAGCAGCCCTGGGCATCTGGAAGTGACTTTAGGAGGGGCTGTGGTCAGGCTGGGCATCTGGCCCCGCCTCTGTCCCTGTCTCTGTTCTGCCTGACCTATGAGCACAGCTGGAGGCACATGGACCGGCAGCCCCAAYGCAGAGATTGCAGACCCCAGGAGCAAACCTTCGAGAACCTGGCTCTGCCCTGGGTAGAGCCCAAGTCACCCTCTGTCACACCCTTTAGCTGCCGCTAGGGTACAGCCTTCAGAGGCATCTCTACTGGCCCTGGATACTGGCTCTTTCCAGTTCGCAGGGAGGGGTCCCTGGGGCTGCACCTGGGATCCACACAGAGGCGGGCCCCAGCACAGGAGGACCCCAGATGTGCAGAAGGTCAGACAGTGTTGATGACATCACGACTATCCAGCTACAGATTCCGGTCACCATTTCAAATCTCTTTGCACACACAGATGGCTACACACTCATCCATTCATCCCACATCATTCATTGAGTACCTGCTGAATGCCATGCACAGTGTTAGACTCAGGGAATCAGGAAGAGCAGGTCCSGATCTCCGGGAACTCCCTGCTCTGAACCTCAGACCACCGCGTGTCCAGAGGTGACTTTCACTTGATCCCAAACTCACACATCCTTAGATAATCACCCCAGTGGACTCTCCGAGGCCCTCAAGACCCCTTCATCAGAAAGGTTGCAATGCAGACTCCCAAGCTTCTGTCCGCGAGGCGAGTGGTTCCCGCCATCGCCACACGGGGGCGCCGGCGCGCSGTGGCCAGGTAGCCGAGGGCCCGCGCGCATGCGTGCTCCTGTCCACCGCCTCAGCCCTGCGACCCCAAAGTGATCTGTGGTCGTCGGGGCTTCCACCGGCCAAGCCAGAGAGCGTGCGGGGCAGTCCCGCTGCCGCATGAGCCCCTACTCTGCAGGCTTCAGCCCACACAGCGGCGGCGATTTCCTCCAGGAGAGCTGAGCCTTGGTGACATGCGCACGCACTCCGTCCATCCGCTGCACCCCACCCTGTGTTCCCTGGGCGCTGCTCCCGGGCCTGTCTGACCACGGCTCCCAGCACACAGGCCCTTGCCCGCCTCCTTTGGAGGTGAATAAATGTGGTCTGGCTTCTGCATGACTGGAGTGAAGCCCGCTGGCAGTGGGACAAAAGCACGTGGCCCCAGCCCCCCTGAGGAGGTCCCTGGATTGCTGTCCCTACTGGTGCTCCATCTCTTAGGCCACAGAGAAACCCATGCATGCGTTTCAGGCAGCAGCATTCCATGCTGGGTGTGTGATTCCACTCAGCTGCTTTCTCCCCAGTCTCACCCTCCCATGGGAAGTCTTTAAAAGCTCCTGAGTCCCTCATCTCTGAGGTCTGTCCCCCATCCTTCCTTCACCCCACCAGCCACAGACCTGCAGGTCTGGATGGAAGCAGTTTCAGTCCAATGYCCTGGTGGCCTGGGAGACATCTGGCCGTGGAGCCAGCCCCATTGGGTGACAACTTTTGAAACACGGCCTCTGTGGAGCCTCTTGGGAGGGGTTCAAGGCTTCCGTCTCCTGGACCAGCTAGCCGGGGCAGAGGCCACCTCACACTGCAGTAGCCCTGGAAGGTAAGTTAGGGAAGAAGATGCCCTGTTAGCGTTTGACATGTGAAAAGATAAGTGACCCCTCCCAGACCCAAAGATCAGCTAGGAGCAAGAATAGCCAGACTCTGCACACCTGGGGTCCTCCTGTGCTGGGGCCGGCCTCTGTGTGGATTCCAGGTGCAGCCCCAGCGATCCTTCCCTGCGAACAGCCTCCCTGACCACGGAGACTGCCTCCAAACAGATGTGGCAATAGCATGGGGTGAGGACTGAGGGGTAGCCCAGGGGAGTCCAGGGGGATACTGACCTCAGCTGAGGGTCAAGGGGGCTTCCTTGGGGTCATTTCCAAGCTGAGTCTGGAAGGGCAAATGGAAGTCAGTGGAGCACGGCAGAGAGAGCTACTCAGAGAGACCAGTTGTCACCCTTGCGGTGGCATGGATGACGCCAGGGGGTGGCAAAAGACTGAAGGACAGAAAGACACAGGCATGAACTTGCAGGTGAAGGGGCTGGAAAGGAAGGGATGGATTCCAGGAATACTCAGGTGGCCCTAGAGTTGAGGGATGAGCGGGAGGAAGGAGGCCCTGCCGGGGTTTCTGTTAAGGAGAAAGGCGTGAACACAAAACCTAGGCCCGTAGGCTCTGAGACTTGGGTATGCCACCCCAGCAGACCCTGAGAAAGGGCTTCTGGGACTGCCATCCTAACAGCTTAGGGGACTCACAGGGCATTAGCAAGTCGCTAATATTTTGCAAAGGTAGAAACCTACCTTAGGACAGTTGGAAGCCACTCTGGGAGGCCGCTTGACCTGGGTGTTCTGACCCTGGCTGTGCCCACAATCACACCACAGCATCCCAGAATCCTGGACCAATGCCCTGGCACAGCTGGGCCCTGGGGAGCTGGGCCAGTGCCTCCTGCCCCAGAGTCACATGCCAGAGGGGCATCAGTAGGACCTGAGCCCAGCGCTGGCCAGCTTGGGTCAGCCTTAGGCAAAACACAGAGAGAGGACCATGACATTTAAAGAGACTTTTAGTTAAGTGGCGTTATAAGTGCTTCCCAGGATTGTATTTGAGGAAGTGCTGTGACATCCATTGGCCCCAGACTTACTGGCTCAATGGTTAAAAACAAGTGCATTATGAAAAAGGAAAACATCCAGGGGGAGAGGGGGGTGGTGACTCGCAGATGACTCATCAGGCCCCAATCAAAGGAACCAGGACAGGGCAGGCAGGGACAGGCCATCTGGACTGCTGCCACCTCACCTCTTCTCGCTCCACCATCAGTTCCCTCATCCCCACAACCCCCCCCGCCCCCGCCAGCCAGTCACCCTCTCTCTGGCTACACTCCCCACCCCCACCCCCATTAGCCTCCCAGCGTCCAGGGAGGCCAGACATGTTATATGGCTGACCACGTTGAGTCTTTGCTCCTAACTTTCAGGGACTTCATGCAGCAAGCACAGAGTCTAGATTGGTCATCTTAGGTTCAAGGGCCCCAGGGTCCCATCCCTTGCCTGACGTACAGACCCTTGTTTGGCTTCTAGTGCCACAGGGCGTTTGCACATGTTTCCCTCTCTTTGTAGAACACTCTCCACTCCACTCTACATCCTCGAGTCCATTCCTCAGCTCCACTCCAGCACCTCTTATTCAGGAAGGCCCTTCCTCACCCCTCAGGTCTCCTAGACAGCTGTGCATCTTTCCCTCCCAATTAAATTTTACAATTTGTAAGTAGATATAAAACTGAGCCTTTTGGGAGGTGCTTGGGATTGAGCCTTGTGCACGGTCAGTACACCCTCTACCATTGATGTACGCCCCAGCCCTTGAACTGTGAGTTATTGTACTATCAACTCCATCTGGGAGGGCAGAGAACACCCGTGCCATGTTTGCCCACCAGGGCCCTCACAGAGCCGCCCCCTAGTGGATGCATAATTGTTTATTGACCAAAACACCTTTCAGAAAAGGACAAAGCAGTGGAAGGGTGGCCGTCGTCCAGCCAAGCCCCAGAGAGAGGCCCTGAGAGAAACCAGACCTGCTCAGAACTTGACCTTGGACTTCCAGCCTCCAGAACACACATTTCTGTGGCATAAGCCGCCCGGTGTGAGGTCTTTGGCTGTGAGACTGATACACCCCACATCATGCTGTCCTGAGGCCTGGACATCAGCAGAGGTGCTATGCCCAGGACGGTGTCAGCGATGGAGATCGTGAAGCGATGGCGACCATGAGTGTCGGGCGCTTTCCAGGCAGAGGGAGTTGTGTGTGCAAAGGTTTGGGGCCTGGGGTGACGTGCTGCCCAGGCCAAGGCCTGGTCCTCACCTGCTGCTGGCCCTGGCCCAGCCGTCTGCCCTGCCCCCTCTTCGAGAAGGTAGAAAGCACCTGCAGCCCTGCCTGCCTCCCCGCACAGCCCCTGCCTCCCCCTCGCTTGGCCTGTCCTGGGCGGGTCGTCCTGGCTTCTGGGAACAGAACCCAGGCAGCAAGACAGGGGCAGAGGCTTCTGTCCTTGGGCCTCATTTGCTGTGTGAGCCCGACCAGGCAGCTGGGCTGATCTCCCCTGGCCTCCATGTCCCCTCTGTAAAACGAGTGTCCACCCTAGATTTCCAGCTCCTTTTAGGTTCGCCCTTTGGTCTCAGCCTCCCTGAAACTCCACTCCCTGTGGGTGACGCAGGCCAGAGGAACCCAGGGGAAAGAATGCGTTGCCCTTGACAACCATTTTTCTCCCTGGCTTCTCCCCCAGAGGGACTGAGAAGAATGTCCCATGAATCATCCTGGCCTCTCCCTTTTCTTCTCCGGCCCCCCCTCCTTTTGTCCCCCAGTGGAGGTGGCTCAAGATCTCCAAGGGGGGATGGTCTCCAGGATCCTCTGGGCTCAGGTGTGTTGTCCCAGCCCCTGTGCCTGGAGTCCTGCCTGTGGCCCAGGCCCAAGCCCTTGGGGCCAGGGCAGTGGCAGAGCCCCCAGGGCAGGGAAATGGGGCTGGGGGCAGGGGCAGGGGCTGAGAGTGGAGTCAGATCACTGGGTGCCTCTTTCTCTGGGGTCTTCTGCAGGCAGAGCTGGGGCCTCTGATCAAACCCAGAAAGTCCAGTGTAGGGGAGCGGGGGGAGGGTCGATGCGGGCAACACTGGCAGTGGTAGGAGCCCAGGGGAGGCCCCTGGCCCAGCCCGGGGACGGGACACATGGGGGACTTGGTGACATCAGAACTAGAGACTTTGCTGAGTTTGGAGTGGAAGAAGGTAGGATCCGGAACCACTGTGGGCTCCCTGAGTGACGGCCTGCCCCGGATGAGGAGGTGCAGAGCTGGGGTTGGGAGAATAAGGAGGAGACAGGCCTAGGGCAAGGTGTGGAGGGCCCCCCACCCAGTGGCTGAGCAGTGCAAGGAACGCCCTGGTAGGGAGGGCAGGCCAGGACGTGGGTGTGAGTCAAGCCTGGGGAGCAGTGTTGCCCCTGAATCCCCCACCCAGATGCCCCTGGGGTTAGGGCTGCTGCTGGGGTGGCTGCTAGGTCTTGTGTTCCACCCTCTTTTCCTGATGGCACYGCAGGAGCCAGTGTCCAGCCACACAGGCTTCAGTGCCAAGGGCCTCAGAACTTCAAAGAAACCTCCAGCCATGTGGACCTTATTGCAAGCTCAGACTTCTGCAAAGCACTGGCATTGAAAATGAATTTAGAAAGTCTTTGCTGCCACCATCCTGTCTCACCCTGACCGCTGCAGCAGCCTTCACCCTGGGCACCCTGGTAGCTATTACCCCTGAATTGGATTGAATAGTGTTTCCCCCCAAATCCATGTCTAACTCTGAAGCTGTGGGTGTGACCTTATTTGGGAATCGAGTCCTTTTTGGTTACGATAAGATCAGACTGGATCGGAGCAGGCCCCAGGCCCAATGCAATAGGTGATTCTCCTCCAGAGCCTTGGGAGGGAACATGGCCTCACTGGCACCTTGATCTCAGCTTCTGGCCTCCGGACTTGTTTCCAGCCACCCAGCTTGTAGTCATTTGTTACAGCAATTCTAGGAGACTAGTGTAACCCAGCAATGATCCTTCACTGCAGCAAAAGGGACCCTGTGTGTGCGCACGTGTGAGTGTGTGTGTGTAGCACTGGGGATGGAACCCAGGGCCTTGCACATGCCAGGGAAGTGCTTTCCCACTGGGCTACATCCCTGACCCCTGCTAATTCTTATGGGTCATGGTCTTTCTCTGCTCTGACCCTGCAGTACTTCCTTCTCATGGCCAAAGCCACAGTTCTGACAAAACTTGAATGGCCCCATGCCATCTGTACCATCCTTTGACCTTGCTGACGGCACCTCTAACCCCTTCTCATACTCCCTAACTAACCCTAACTATGCTAACTCTCCCTAACTAACCCTAACCCCAGCAAACCCACCACGACCAAGATGCTCCTTCCTCAGGGGCCACCGTGGCTTATTACAAGAGTGGCTACCAGCGTATCCACCCATATCCACGCACACACGGCCCCGCCCATCTGGAGTGGCCTCCCCTGCCTTGCCCCTGGGTTGACCGGYGGCTTGCTCTGGCCATGATATGCTGTTGCAGGAATGCCTAGTCCATAAAGGCCTCCCAACTTCCAGTTTTTTCCTCTTAAATTCTTGTTGCTATGTAGAGAAGCTTAGGCTGGACCACTGAGTGCTAAGAAATCTCATGAAGAGAAAGGGGGAGAGAAAGTTAAAAA